GAATGGGTCAGAATCGAGGGAAATTCAAAAAAAATCCGACCCGAATCAATTTGCGGTTATCCGGGTATGCGCAAATTGTTCCTGCACCGCATGCTCCTCTACTACCTCCCCCCCCTCCCCCTCCGCCGCCCTCCCTCGAGGCACATTTTATCCATTCGATCGTGTGCCACGAGCGTGTTACAATGATCGTAACCCGATTTCGACGAAAAATAACAGGTTAACGGGCGCACCGATGTCACAACGCGATCGAAAATGATCAATAATCACGCCAACTTTGCGTGTATCGCAAATTAAGAAGGGGGGAGGGGAGGGGGGCGAGTGAAAGCGAGAGCAAAGTATTACCTCGTTTGCGATTCTTTTGTGATTTACAGGCAATTATCGCAAATTGATAACGATGTTGAAACCAATGATACCATTGATACATTTATCCCTTATTCATCCCTATTCGCTTTGCTCTCGCAATCGTTATTCCGTTTGTTAACTTGTTTTTTTGTAATTTAATAACTGATTTCATATGGAGCTGTATTTAGTCTAAGCCTCTCCAGGAAATCTGATACTGCGAAAACGGCATTGTTATTTTGATGCCTCGTTATGATTTTTCTACAAAAAAAGAATCGATAAGAAGAAAAATCCCCCTACCCCCCAAAAAAAAGTACCGCAGCGAAAAAGAAAGGAAATTTTTAAATGAAATTACTTCGCTTTTGCTGTCTCGGTGCTCGTTTCGTTAAACTCGATCGCTCCTACATTTCTTCCGTCGCGTTGTCGCGGAAGGATTTTCCACAGCCTCCGATCTCCTCCCGCTGATTCCGCCTGATAATCGCAAATAAGGGGACGCTTAAGGGAAACGACGGGATCGCAAAGAGAGGCACGTGAGTCCTCTCTCCGATGCGGGTCTCCGCCTTAAGGACAGCACGATGCTTCGAGCTTGCGACGCTTCGAGTTTGCTGTTCGTGCAGTCGACGTCGAGCAGGAGAGAAACTACTATGACAGTCGGGAACAGCGAAGCGGAATTTGGAAAATGGAGTCCGCCCAGAGCGGGCTATGGGCTATCAATGTACCGTGAGAGAGCAAACTCACTTTGAAACGAACAGAAATGCCGATGTTGATTCCGAGGCGGAACGACGGCGGGAACGATTGAACATGGCGATTGTTGCGAAAAAATGTCGATCGTCACGATCGGCGGAGAGAGTCTTACCGCGCAGTGCAATGCCTTTTTACCCCCATTGTCCGTACTATCGTTTTCAAATTAATGAAGGACTATAATGGAAAGACTCGCGCGTGGAGGTAACGTACCGGCTTCCGGAACTGAAGGGGTAGCGCCGTAATTGAAGGAAGAATGGCGGAATAATTGGCAGTACCGTGACAACGACAAAGAACGCGGAAAAGCGATATAGTATATAGGCTATCGCGTAATAACCGGTTCTTTGATTTCTTTGACGAATTAAAAGCTAATTTTCTCCTTAACTATAACGCCAATTGTTCTCTCGCTTCGACGAAACGACGAGGGAATTAAGTTCGCTCTCGCGTTTCTCTCCCGTTCTCCCCCCGAAATTCCGCGATCCACCTCGATCGGCTTCCGAAACGACGAATCCCATTTCGATTTCGATCTCCCTCCCGCGTGGTGGCACGAGGAGAAATCCGCGTGGAAAAGCCGCGCGGGAAAATTTAATAAATCCTCCCGCGTCCGAGTTCCATTTCCACTCGTCGAGTGAGTTGAGACTCGACGTTCAAAATCTGTCTCACGACATCTCTCCTACGACGCTCGCATCCGCTCTCGACCCTCGTCCGCTAATAGCGACAAGTTACTTCTGACCCGGTACAGACCCTTGCGACGCCTCTATATTTAGACCGGGTCGAACCACCAGAACGGCGAGAAAACACAAAAGAAAACACAGAGACGCACCGCGCCGAGCCGCGCCGAGCCGCGCCGAGCCGAGAAGAGACGAGACGAGAAGAGAAGAGAAGAGACGAGACGAGACGAGACGAGATGAGAGGGACGGGACGCGAGGAAAAGATCGTCTTGACGATGATATCTCGACGTCGAAAGAAATCGGATTATGTTCGGCGTGGACACCGCGGCTTCTGGCTTGCAGCTGCGCCGCAGAGACGATCGTAAAAACGTCCTCCTACCTAAGGAGTAGTCTCTCCGCCGTTGTCTCTGCCGTCTTCTCGACGCTCAATAATAATGCGGTGACGAAGAGGGTCCAGAAAGTCAACTTCTTGATCAATTCGGAGAGTTGACTTCCGGCACTTTGAAGCCACGCGAGAAGATACGCGAGAGCGTGAGGACTTTTAAAAATTAAAGAATTGAGTCGAAATAACGAAATTTTTATTTCGACTTCAAGTTGATTTTCGATTCGTCTAAATTTTCTAACTCGTAACTTTTTTGTTCGAGAAAATCAAAGTTGAAACCTAGGAAAAGATTCGATATTCTTGTTATAGCGGACATCGAACTCGGCCGAAGAATTAATAGATGAAAGCCGGCATTGTAGAACGTCGCAGGCTCGTGTGGTTTATATTCGTTATATCGTTATACAAGATTCGACGGTGGTAAGAGCAACGTTGTATATTACAGTCAGACAACACGCGGTGAAAAAGAAAAAGAAAATTTATGAACGCGAGTTGAATACGTTGCAGAAGCGTATTTAACGATTCATAGGCTATTTTTGTTCTTATTTCCGGAATTTAATTTCTCTCGCGGATTTTTCCCAGATAAAAGTTCCGATACAGTTTGTAAACCATATTAAATGAAATCCAATAATTCGCTAATGTGTTAAGAGATTCGTACTTTGTACTTTTATATTTATATATAATTTTAACAAATCTCTCTCAAAGAAGTCAAGAAAAAGGAGAGAAACGAACGTGCTGAAACATTAATTCGATTATATTTTATTTATTAGATTTTTTTAATCGCTAATTCAAGAATTAGCCAAATAGTCCTTCCTTTTAAAAAATTTCTTCCATTTTGATACACAAAATCATTCAACTAATCAATTTGAGTATAACGCCTGCTATTATTTACGCGTTCATTTTGATGGTTCTGCTGATGGCGGTTAATCGGAAATTGGACTTCTCCCGTTTTAGCGTTTGGTCAACCATGATTGATAACGATCAGACACGAATAGCAGCTGCAAAGATTTAACTTTACACGAGTGTAAAATAAAATCATCTTTAATATTCCGAATTTTCTGAAGTATTCACTAAGAAATGCGAAAATAGCATTGATTTAATTATTATTTATACACCTAAACGAAAAGTATATTCTACTTTTTCGAAATCAATACTGAATATAAAATTCATGATTGATTTTCTTGTATAATTATAGCTTATAGTTTTTGACTATAATATATTTGAATCGATCCAAAAACTGACTAAATAAACTATGTATCGCAACTTAAATAAACTTAAGTTCGATGAAAAATATATAATATATAAATATATAAAGAAAAAAAAAGTGTAAAATATTACATTAATGATAGATATACTGTGCGAAATAAATATTCATACAATTATATTTTCAATATATCTTTCTGAAAATTATTGAATATCTAACCGTTTAAATAACAATTATAATAACAATTATAATCAGTTTAATCGTAACTCTAATAATCCAAGCTAAATAAACGTTGGATTATTGATCTCTCTTGAAACGATCAAAATCCATTACAGGCGGAGACGCTACTAGATTCTTGGCGCAATCTAATCTGGAACTTTTTCGATACTCTAAACTCAATTGCGCGTAATAGTTTCGCGGATAATATAGCAGACCTTTAATAAACCTTCATGATACTACAAGTACAACGCGCGATTAGACTCAAGGTGTTAAGGGTGTTCCCATTTCCCAGCTAATAGGATATTTCTGACCCATCTCGCAACTTACCCGACACCGTCGAGAGGAGTATCAAACAAACCATCAAGCCGCTCATTTTCACTGATGGAGGATCTGTTGTCTCGCGCAACACCAGGCCGCTTCAACCTCGTATCGGCGATCCTTCAACCTTCCTACTGTTTCATGCTTTATCAGTTCGAGTTAGCAGAGAAAGAAAGCAGCCAGAGATCCATTTACAGCCCTACTGCCTAGATCGCAATTTGCCTAGTTGGTTTCCCCCTATTGATGTATTGTGCAAATCGTTTAGTTAATAATCCAAGTGTACAAATCATTAGAATCGAGATAAAACATCTACGTACGTAAAAGATTTTTCCGCGCGATCAAAATTTTCGTAAGATATAAAATATAGACCTTTACTTTACACAAAACAATATTACAATGTGTTCGCCAATATATTCCAAAAACTTTTGTCGTGCAGATAAACAAAAAAAAGAAAAAGAAAAAAAACGAAGAAACGACCGAAATATAGTATATACAAAATATTTCTTCTACTAAATTCTTTCTGATGACAAGAATAAAGACAAGACAAGAATAATGACAAGAATAAAGACTTGTTTCGCGGACCACCGAATAGTAGATAAAATAAAATTCCACCGTCTCTCCGTTGAAGCTTCTATACGAAATGATGCGTGTACCACCAGTGTTGTGCCCAACGGCAACGGGGGAAGCTTATCTGTTGTGTCAGGGAAGCGCAGAGTACCACGCGGATGTGACCGATGTCGGTTATGCCGCTACGCCACGCACGCCGGGACGCAGTTCGAAGGACCGAGTTGGACTGAGTTGCAAGTCCAC